TGGCTTGGCTTGGCTTAGCTTAGCTTAGCTTAGCTTAATTTAGCTTAGCCTAGCCTAGCCAAGCTTAGCGTAGCGTAGTTTAGCTTTGCATAGCTTTGTTTACCTTAGCTTCGCTTAGCGCAGCGCAGCATAGCGCAGCGCAGCATTAGCGCAGCATTTCATATTATAGCATAGCCAAGCATACCATATCATAGCATAGCATAGCACTTCATATCATATCATATCATAGCGCAACATATCATAGTATAGCATAGCATAGCCGTGCTTAGCATAGCACAGCGCAGCATAGCATAGCATAGCATAGCACATCAATTCATAGCATAGCATAGGTGAGCGAATGCGAAAAGATGCGTGTGTGTTTGTCTGTGCGCAGGCACATCAACAACAACATCAAGCAACATCAACAATAAAAGCGAAACAAACACAGCAGCAAAAGCGAAAGCAACACCAAAGGCAAGGCAATGCACATCATAAACAAAACCACTGCGAAATTGTATATGTTTATGTGCATGTAGGTGTAGGTGTAGATGTGGATGTAGATGTATATGTAGATGTAGATGTAGGTGTAGGTGTAGGTGTAAATGTAGGTGTAGCTGTAGATGTAGATGTAGGCGTGAGTCTCGCTGTTGATGTTGATGTAGATGTAAATGCATGTGTAGATGTTAGTGTAACCGTCGGTGTAGATGTAGATGTTGCTTTCCTAGATGCTCCAACTTTTAAGTAGGGTCGCGCTGGGATAATTGGTTCTGTCCCGGAACATATTTTTTGGGGTCCGGACAATATTGCAGTGGCCTCCGGCCAGTGCCGCCGTTCCGGGCCGCTCCCGACGGTGTTCGGGTTCGCTTGCAGGTTCATGGGGCCGTCTTGGGGCCTCCTGGGCCGTCGTAGCAGTTGGCCTTTTGAGGGCGTCTGAGCCTTTTGGCGCTTCTTGGAAGCCTTTTTGGCTGTCCTAGGGCGTTCCTGGCCCGTCGGGCGCCGTCGGAATCTGTCTTGGGCGCCTCGCTGCGCCGTCTGGCAGCATTCTGGGGGCGCTTCACGGCCGTCCTGGAGGCTGTCTTGGCCGTCTTGGGGGCCCATGGGGACGTCTTGGGACTTTTTTGGGGCCGTCATCAGAGCTTCTGGGGCCGTCGCGGGGCCATCTTGGAGGCCTCTTGGGAGATCTTGTGGGCCTGTGGGTCCGTCGGAAGGCCGAACGGAATGAAGCGCCCATGTCCTTCAGAAGTATGTGAAAATCAATGATGTGTGCCCCTTCGATTCTTTTCGAGGGCATCCTGGGCCGTCTTGGGCGCGTCTTGAGCCGTCTGGGAAACATTTGGCAGCCGTCTTGGGCTCTCTGGTCCCTTGGGCGGGAACGCGGCGCAACTTTCCGTTTCCCAGCCCCGCCTAAAAAGCGGAGCGCTGGCGGGGCAGGCCCCCTGCCCCCTTTCCCCGGCAGAGCCGCCCTTGCCCCCCCTCAAAGCTGGAGCTCGGGCTGCGGGCTGTAGCTTAGGCTGTTTGAGACTCGCGCGCTGGTTCGGCGGATTTATTCGGGTCTGCGCAATATTTGTCCGGGCGCGCGCGCCCGCGATTTTTTTCGACCTGGACAGTTCCAGTCGGGCATGGACATTCTTTTCGCCGTTCTTGGAAGGGGCCTCGAATATCGGGTGGGCCCGTGGGGGTTCATATCCGCGCTGTTCGGTTTCGCCGAGAACACATTGGTACCTGTGCGCCGTGTCCGTGCAGTTTTCGTGTTGGCTGTGGGCGGTCTCGGGGGGCGCCAAGGCGCTTGCGGACCGTTTGTCTTGTGGGATTTTTTTCGGGTGGGGCTCGTCGGTTTCGCTCCCACAGAAAGGTGAGCGCGAACGCGGGGAGGGAGGCGTCTAAGATGCGGGGTCGGATTTGCGGAGGTGGGCGGGGGGAAAGGAACGGGGGGGCGAGGGGGATGGGGGGGAGGGGGCAGACGGGCAAGTTCGCGTCGGCTGCTCTGGACTGGCTTCGCATGCCGGGAAGCCGCCAGGATGCGTGGGCCTTGATGCGCGCGGCATGTCTGCATTGCCTTGTGTGCATGTGTTGATCAGACCGCGCGCGCCCGGGCAAGTGGCCCCGTCCCGCCGCCGTGCGCTGGCGCCGACCTGCACCTCGAGGCCGCCCCGCCGCGCCGAACGTCGAAGTTTCTGGCGTTTCTGGGTGCTGAGCAGGACATGCGTTGGTATTGAATTTCCACAAAATGGTACCGCTCCTGTGCTGCTTTCGCCCTGGGAGGATTAAACCCCCTCTGGTTTTCACGCGCGGGCTTGGCTGCATCGCGCCCAGGCGCCCCGGGATAGAATTTGGAAGTAGCAACGCGTGGCAGCGCGGATTTGCGCTTCCGGCTGAATTGCGGAAAATGCAGAAAAATTAATTGTTCGCCGAAGTGTGCGCCCGCGCGACTTCAGCGCATCTGTCGCACATCGCGCGTTCCAGTGTCATGTAGCCCCGAGCCAAACCTTCGACTTCGCCTGTGGTGCTCGAAATCCTGCCTGTGGCCATGGCAGCTCATCGCGTGGTCCCAGTAGCTCATCGCGTGGACCTCGTAGCTCACCTGGTGGCCGCCCTTGCTCAGCAGGTGGTCCTTGCAGTTCAGCTCGTCGCCCTGGTAGCTCTGCGGGAGGCTTTCGTAGTTCTGCTAGTGGCCCGCGTAACTCAGGTAGTGGCCCTCGTAGTTGAGGTGGTGGCTCTCGGAGTTCTGCTGCTGGCTCTTGCCGTTCAGCTAGTCGCCCTAGTCACTCTGCAGGGGGGTCGGGTAGTTGTGTTCCTGTACTCCGCGCAGCTCTAGATGTGGCCCTGGAAGCACAGCAGGTGGCCCTCGTAGCTCTCGTGGCTGTTTCTGCTGTGCCTGCGGTGGCTCACTGGTCGTCGCAGCGCAGAAGACGGTCCTTGTGGTTCAGCTGGTAGTTTTTGTCGTCCTGCTTGTGGCTTTCGTGTCTCAGCTTGCTGTCCTCGCTGCTCAGCTTGTGGCTCTCGTGGCGTGGCAGGTGGCTCTCGCAGTGCGGCAGGTGGGTCCTGTAATACTTGTGCTTGTGGCTCTTGAAGCTCTGGTTGCGGCTCTCGCAGTCCTGCGCGTGGTTCTCGTTGCGCAGTCTGTAGCTCTAGTTGTTCAGCTGGTGGCTCTCGTAGCCCTGCTTCTCGTAGCTGAGCTCGTGGCCCTCGTTGCTCAGCTTGCGGTTCTCGTGGCTCTGCTGGCGGGTGTCGTAGCTCGGCATGTGGGCCTTGAAGCTTTTCGAGTGGCTCTCGTAGCTGTGCGTGTGGTCGGTCCTCGTAGTTCAGCGTGTGGTCCCCGAAGGTCGTCTGGTGGCCCTGGAAGCTCTGCTGGTGGCTGTAGCAGTCCAGAGGGCGCGCTCCCTTCGTTGTCCCCGGGGTCCGAGTCAGAATCGTCGGCTGCCAAGTCGTAGTGTTCGACGGTCAGGGTGTCCCTGAAGGAAGTCCTGGCGGTTGTCGCAGCCCTGCGGTCCGCCTTAGTCCATGGGGGTCATAGGAGTACAGGTCGTTCTCGAACGCACAGTCGTAGTAGTTCTTCTCGTAGGCAGCGCGGCCATTGTCGTGCTCGTCGTAGGCGGCGTCGCCGTTGTCCACTGGTACCTCCGCGACGACGTACTTAGTATCCCCTTCGGTTTGCTCGGTCGTGTCGTTCCTGGTGTCGGTCTGTGCTGGCGTACTTGGTGTCGTCCTTGGGCTGCCTGTTACGAATCTCTTGCTCTGGCTGCATGTTGCGACATTATGATGGCGGTCGTAGCGATGGTCATGATGTCGTTGAGGTGTGGCTGTAGCCCGTGTCGGATCAGGTAGCCCGTTCTCTTCAGAGCTGCATCTGTTCGTCCTTCTCTATGTAAGTCTAGTTTCGGCATCTTGTCGGTAGTCTCCACCGAGGTGGGTAAGTCTCGTAACAGATGTCATGGTCGCCCAAGTTGTAGGTCAGCTGGTGTCTGACCTTCCTCTCCCGAATGTTCGCCCTCTCCAGGTTGTTCACCTTCTGGTGGTTGTTGTTGTACACGTTGTGCGCGCGCCGCCGATGGCGGCGGCGTGCGCGGGCCGGCCCCCATTCCGCGGGTGGTGGGCGGCGCCCCCCTCTGAGGCGACTTCCTCCGTCTCCTCCTCCCCCCCTCCTCCTCCTCCTCCTCCTCCTCCTCCTCCTCCTCCTCCGTAGCCATTTTGGCTCAAGTCCATGCTAGGTTGCGGCCCCGCACGCGCCGCGCGCCCATGCATGCAATGTGTTGCGTTCGCCGCCGCCTGCTGGCTGGTGGCTGCTGCTGTCGCTGGACACGGTGACGTCATGCCGCACTGTCGGTCGCCTTCTGCCCGTGCTCGGCGCGCTCGTCGCGCTCTCGAGCTCGGCTTTCTTGTGAGGCGTCTTCCTGGTCATCGCCATGTTCGCGTTCCTGCGGAACTTCATGAGCACGGCCGTGGGGTCCTTCGCGGTCTCCAGCTACATAGTCACTTGCAAGGAATTGGTGGGAAACCTACTCACACGTTGCGCCAGGCTATTGGTGCTGCTGCTCCACTCCTACCCCCTGAAGCTCTTCCACATTTGCACCGTGAGAATCGACGGTACGGACGCCTCAGACACCGCGTACCGCTACCACAAGCTGCTTCTGCGCGGACTGGTGCGACGCCTATCTCCCTCGATGCTGCGCTGGGCCCTCCTGGGCCGCGCGCTGCGGCGCTGCCGCTGGATGCTGCCGTGGCAGCGCTCTCGCAGGTGGCCCTAACTCTGCTGACGATGTTGCGCCCGTCGGGCTTCATGTCCCAGCCGTACCCCCAGCCGCCCCTGATCCCCATAGGTGTGGTCAACGCTGAGGCTTTGCCTGAACTGATGTGCTACTTGTCCCACTCCCCGCCAGGATACGACCTCGGGGGCACGGACGTCGCGGCTGCTGCCCAAATGTCTGCGGCGAGTGTTGTGCCGGCTCCGGTGGGCCAACAGACATTTAGTGAAGTTCCTCCGTGCCCTTCGTCGAGTCGCGATTCCCACACGTCTTTTGTGCATGTCCTGGACTTCGAATCCGAGTTCTGCGTGTTCGAGGAGAAAGCGGTCCGTGAATGGCCTGCCCCTCGTCGTCCTGCAGGTTATCTACCACCACATGCTTCTGGCGGAGCTGCCGTTCCGCATGGAGTTCGTTCTGGTGGAGCGCGGGATGCGGAAGGTGACGCTGATCGCGACCCCCATGATGATATTTCTTCTCCTGCTGAGGCCGCTGTCTCTGACCTGGCCGAGGCATCTGATGAAGCTGGTCTGCGTGAGCAAGCTCGCGCTGGTGCGGCCGCTGCTGCTTCTGGCGTTCATATTCTTCCTCCTGGTGCTATCAGTCCACACGGTGATGGAGATGCTCAGCGCTGTTTCTAGCTGCGGCCCTCTGCCTCTGCATAGTGATGGTTCTTACTCTGGCGCCCCTGGCGCTACCTCGGCGTTCTCCGCCGAATGTGACGACTCCGAGCTGAACGAAGATTTTGCCGAAGCCGTTCTGCGTGAGCATGTTTGTGCTGAGGCTGTCGATTTCCACTGCTTGAAGGTCTTGGAGGTGGGTCCGAGGATAGCGACTCGTCCTGCATGCCGTTTCTTTCCTCGATGTGCTCGCGGTGACGAGTGCACGTACTCACATCTTTCGGAGGTGTCTGATCATGCGACTGCTGATGAACATGCCCGCCTGTCCAATCATTTCCACAGCTATGCAGATACCCCGTCATTGTCGGCGACGCTGTGGCACGCCCGTGCTGCTGGTCACAGCGTGCCTGAGGTTTACGCGATGGTAGATGGAGAATCCTGGGGGCAGGCAGTCATTGATGATACTATGCATGAAGGGCTTCCTCAGGACGAGCCCGTCCAATCGCACGCACTGCCCGCTGGACCTCAACATGATGAGCCGCAGTGTGGCGAGCGGCCCCTTGCTGATGTGATGGTGGATAACCACTCGGAATTTGACGATCTTCTGCGTGAGGAGTTCTTCCATAATGAGCCCATACACTGGCATGCACCGCTCGCCAACCCACAGCATGATGAAGCACAATTCTGCTGGCGTGATGGTCCCCGTGGCCTGGGCCAAGACCGTGCTGAGCTACATGCAGAACCTGGTAAATATGACTGGGCTGTTCCTGGTACGCCCTTCCTGCGTCGCGCTGAGCTGCTTCACCTTCGCTGCTGCAGCACGGCTCTCGCTGATCTGGCAGACGAGCTAGCACGCCAAGTTGCCGAACATCATCGGTCGGCGCGGACTTCATCTTCGACTGGGCTCTGTACTACGTTTTCTTTGTCCACGCGTGCCTCGGGAACGTCCCAGGTATGCTGCGATATTGGTGGGGCTTCGCCCTCGCTTTCTGCTCTCTCCGAGGGCGGCGGATTTCGTTAGATGAAAGGTATGTCGAATCGACTCGTTCTCTACGCTCGTCTCCTCCTCCTCCTCCTTCTCCTCCTCCTTCTCCTCCTTCTCCCCGCCCTCCCGCGTCTGCCCCCCCGCGTGTCTTCTACTTCGATGCGCGTTCGCGGGGGCGACTTAGCGCGGCGCGCGCGTGATGCTCGTGTAAGGTCCCGTAGTTCGGTGTAGATTACTTTTTGAGGGCCCGCGCTCCTTCGGACGCTCCAATTTTTCTTCCACCCGTAGCGAGTGCCATTCCCGCGCGCGCAGCCCCGGGGCCCGAGCGGCGACTCTGCGCGCGCGGAGGCCATGGCGTGCTGATGCGCTTTTGCTTCTTTTGTTTCTGTTGGGGCGTAGCTGGTGACATCTGGATTCCCCGGCTCGCCGCTCGCCTGTTTCCCTCTCTTTCTCTTTGTTTTTGTTTTTTCCCCCAACCATCCTGTGGTGTTGGGTCCTCGCTTTGAAGAGACGGTCCCCGCGTCTCCTCCTCCTCCTCCCTCCTCGTCCCCCTCCTCCCTTCTCCATGCGTTTCACCCACCCAGTATAGCGTTTCGTGGCCCCATACGGAGCTCCACGTTAGGCCCCAGGAGGGGGTACCACATGCGTCTGCCACACCCAGTACAGCGATTCGTGGCCCAAAGGGAGCTCCACCGAAGGCCCCAGGGGGGGGGTACCACATGCGTCTGCCACACCCAGTACGGCGTTTCGTGGCTCCATAGGGAACTCCACCTAAGGCCCCAGTGGGGGGTACCACATGCGTCCGCCACACCTAGTGCGGCGTTTCGTGGTCCCATAGGGAGCTCCACCAAAAACCCCAGTGGGGTGTACCAAATGCGTCCGCCACGCCCAGTACGGCGTTTCGTGGCCCCATAGGGAGCTCCACCCAAGGGTCCACTGGGAGGTACGACGTGCGTCTGCCACACCCAGTACGGCGTTTCGTGGCCCCATAGGGAACTCCAGCGAAAGCCCCACTGGGGGGTGGCCATATGCGTCTGCCACACCGAGTATAGCGTTTCGTAGCCCCATAGGGTGCTCCACGTAAGGCCCCAGTGGGGGTGGCACCATGCGTCCGCCACACCCAGTACCGCGTTTCGTTGCCAGTGGGAGCGTCCGCATGCGTCCCGCACGCCCACTTTGGCATTTTCACATCAAGTACAGCGTTTCGTGGCCCCATAGGAAACTCCACCGAAACCCCCAGTGGGACCGTCCGCGTGCGTCCCGCACGCGCAATTTGACATATTCACCCATCCAGTACAACGTTTCGTGGCCCCATAGGGAGCTCCACCGAAGCCTCCAGTGGGACCGCCCACATGCGCCCCACACGCCCAATTTGGCAGTTTCACCCACCCAGTACAGCGTTTCATGGCTTCATAGGAAGCTCGACCGAAGCCTCCAGTGGGACCGTCCGCGTGCGCCCCGCACACCCAATTTGGCATTTCCGATCACCCTGGGAGCTCCACCGAAACCCCCAGTGGGACCGCCCACATGCGTCCCGGAAACCGAATTTGGAATTTTCGCTTACGCAGTACAGCGTTTCGTGGCCCCATAGGGAGCTCCACCGAAGCCCCCAGTGGGACCGTCCGCGTGCGCGTCGGAAACCCATTTTGGCATTTTCGCACACCCAGTGCAGCGTTTCGTGGCCCCATAGGGAGCTCCACCGAAGCCCCCAGTGGGACCGTCTGCATGCGTCCCACACACCCAATTTGGTATTTTTTCCCACACGGTACAGCGTTTCGTGGCCCCTATAGGGAGTTCGACCGACGGCCCGAGTGCTACCGCCCGCATGCGTTCCCTCCCACCCAGGTCAGCGCTTCGAGGCCCCATATGAAGGTTCACCGAAGAAGATATTCACAATTGCGGTACCCACAACTGCATATGGTTGGGTCTTCGCCATAATTATATATATATATATAGAAAGATATATAGATCGTTTTTTTTTTTTTTTTGTTCTCTCTCTCTCTCTCTCTTTCTCTTTCCCCAACCATCCTGTTTTGTTGTCGTTTTGAAGAGACAGCGCCCCGCGTTCTCCTCCTTCCTTCCTTCCTTGCTTCCTTCCTTTCTTCCTCCTTCCATCCTCCCTCCCCTTCCTCCTCCGATCCATGCCTTTGCCCGCCGAACCAGTCAACCATTTCGGCGCACCCCTCGCACGTTTCGTGGCCCCATAGGGAGCCCCACCGAAGGCCCATGTCAGCGTTCGCCGCGTCCGCACCCACTTTGGCACAACCGTCACACGTTTTGTGGCCCCATAGGGAGACCCACCGAAGGCTCAACTGCCACTAACCGTTCGCATGCGTCCACCGCACCCATTTTGGGATACCCCTCACACGATTCGGGCCCCCAGAAGGAAACCTCACCGAAGGCGCCAATGCCAGCGTTCGCATGCGCCTACAACACTTAATTTTGGTACACCCCTCACACGTGTCGTGGCCCCAAATGGAGCCCCACCGAAGGCCTAAATGCCAGCGTTCGCATACGCCCCCCGCACCCATTTTGGCACACCCCTCATACGTTTCGTGGCCCCATACGGAGCCCAACGGAAGGCATTAATGCCATTGTTCGCGTGCGCCCACGGCACTCATGTTGGCACACCCCTCACACGTTTCTTGAAACTGCAGGGGGCCCAACGGAAGGCCCAAATGCCAGCGTTCGCGCGCGCCTGCCCCACCCATTTCGGCACGCCTCTCACACATTTCGTGACCCCATAGGGAGCCCCAGCGGAAGGCCCAAATGCCAGCGTTCGCATGCACCCACCGAACCCATCCTGGCACGCCCCTCACACGTTTCGTGGCCCCATATGAACACATCCGAGCGTTTGCATGCGCCCACCGCACCCATTTTTAGCACACCCTTCACACGTTTCGTGGTCCCACAAGGAGTCTTACCGAACACCGAAATGCTAGAGTTCGCATGCCCCCACCGCACCCATTTTGGCACACCCCGCACACGTCTCGTTGCCCCAGAAGGAGCCCCACTGAAGGCCCACATGCCAGCGTTCGCATGCGCCCACCGCACCGATTTTGGCACGCCCCTCAAACGTTTCGTGGCCCCATCGGGGGCCCCACCGAAGGCCCAAATGCCAACGTTCGCATGCACCCACCGCACCCCTTCTGGCACATCCCTCATACCTTTCGGGCCCTCTAGGGAGCCCCACCGAAGGCCGAAAAGCCACCGTTCGCACGCGCCCACCTCGCTCATTTTGGTACACCTTCACAAGTTTCGTGGCGCTACAGGGAGCCCCACCGACGGCCCAAATGCCAGCGTTCGCATTCGCCCACCGCACCCATTTTGGCACGCCCCTCACACGGTTCGTGGCCCCATACGGAGCCCCACCAAAGGCCGAAATGCCAGCGATCGCATGCACCCACCGCGCCCATTTTGGCACACCCCTTCACACGTTTGGTAGTCCCATTGGGAGCTCCACCGAGTGCGGTGCATACAACGACGGTGCCCACAACTGCAGATGGTTGGGTTTTTTTCGCCAGGCAATTTTTTTTTGTTGGTATTGCTCCCGTGCTCCAGCCTCCTGGGTTCGAGCAGGTTCTGCCTTGTATTTCCCCCCTGATCCCGGGCCCTCCGTGCCAGGGATCGTTCCTTTCATATTCCTGGCAGGACAGGCTTGCGAGGTCCATCTCCGACGGGCCGAGGCGCCCGGGGGCCTGCCCGAGTCGGGCGGACCTGGCGGCACCGGAGGACCCCGAGAGGAGGCTTCCGAGGAAGTCGTGGGGGTGTGCGCGAGCTGGCACGCCTGGCCCGACCAACGCATGCCACCGCCACCTGGCGCTCAATGTCCCAGAGACCCGGGGGCGCTGGAAGAGTTCCCCTACGTCGGCGCCCCAGTTAATAGGCCCTCCTTCTCTGGAAGCGGCCGTGGGTCCTGCGCTCGCCGGGGCCGGCGCGTGGACCTTGTGGCTGCTGGGGACAGCCCTGTGGGCCAGCCTCGGGGCTGTGGGGCAGTGCCTCGCTGTCGCCCTGGGGTTCCTCGCCCCGGTCTGCGTCTTGGACCGCCTCCTCGTGCTGACCGCCGGGGTCTCTCTCTGGATTGTGGGTCGTGCGAGCGGCCACGGGCCTCGGGGCAGCGCGCTCGGGGGATCTTCCAACCCGCGACGGCTTCGATTGGCGGGGCACCGACGCCCGGGACACCGCCAACGAATTCTACACACGTGTCTTCCCAGGGCGGTGCCAGTTCAACCACTGGGAGCCCAATCGCCTGCCCGTGGTCATTCACGGCCAGCGAGCGAGGCTGGAAAGGTGAGACGATGTGCCGCCGACCGCGCGGAAGGGCGGCCAAGCTTTTCCCTGCGTGGCTGTGGTCAGTTGCAGCTGTCCGCAGCTCGCCTGTGTATTGGAATCGACGCGGAGGTCCCAGTGGATATGGAGGAGCAGGCCCCCTCTTGGCAGCCCCTTCTGCACCTGCTGCTTGGCCATGGGCCGCTTCTTGGCTCTCCTCGCCCGGCCTGCCGGCAAAGGCCTCGTCGCCTGTGGCTGCGACTGCGCCGTGGGCGGCGGGCGCTGCCTCTGCCAGCGCCGGTGGCCGCGGCCCGCCTTGCTGGCCCGCGAGCCGGGCGATTGATTCACGGAAGCTGTTGGGCGGGGTCGGATTGGCTGGAGGCCCTTCAGGGGGTCTTGGCACTTTTGCTTCGCGGACCTTGCTGGTCCCCCGTGACCGGCGCCCCTCATCCTTGATGACGTCCCCTGCTCGGGCGCTGGGGGATGGGGGGTGAGGGGGGGCGGGGTGGTGCGCGCGCCCCTCTGCTCGGAGCCCGCTGGGCAGTGCACCTCGGCGCGATTGGTCTCGCGATGCGCGGCGGACCCCCTGCTTCCGGGCAGGCCGCAATTGGGCAGGGGGCGCATGCATCTGCGTGGCCCGCGCCCGGGCCGCCCATGACCCCCTGTGCCCTGTCGGGTGGGCGGCTGGCCCGCCCGCGTCTTCGCGAGAGCCAACTCCGCGACCGCCGCCGCCCCGAACTCCCAGGGGCGCCCCCGCGTCGGCGGTC